AGTGTGATCCGACAACGGTATGGGCCATATTACTAAAGGATGGTTGATAAGGTGGACACACACTGTGACAGTGAGGCATATGTTGCTGCCACGTCAAGGACAACATTTCTAACACCTTTAATTAACTACGACTGGTGTTAATGAATTTCACAAGAAAAATATTACATGGTCGCTTCTTAGCCACCCACGCTCCAAGCAAACAGAAGCAGAACTGGCCCCTCTACCTCAGCGTGAAAGGAGTCAAAGCAGACAGATTGCTCAGTGACTGGAAGAGGAGGCTTGCCTCACACTGCTGCACCTGCTGGGTTGCAGCTTTTTGCCCTCTTTTCAACCCATACTTAAATGTTCATGTCTTGAGGGAGACAAAATTCCCTGGTCAACAGCACTTCACAAATTCCTACTGAGGCATCGGTGGGCATTTTTTTCAAATTTGACAAAAAGAAAAAAAAAAATCACAACTCCCCTTATAAAAAACATTAGGAATTGACTATTTCCATCCAATTACTGACCAATCAAGGCAAGATATTTCATGTTTGTATAACTTGTAACATTATAAAGAGCATGAAAATAGGATGAAAAATGTAACTGAGTTTAAACTTTTAGGTTTAATAGTCCATAAATTCAATCTCCTTTTCTAAAATCAAAATATTTGTAGTAAATGCAAACTAAAATAAATCTACATCAGATGTTTCCACAGCTTCTGTAATCATTAGTCATCTGCAAAGCTCAAACTAAGTTTTTGTAAGACCATTTCTGAAATTCGGATTGGCCGTTTCTCTTTGTGGTTTTGAAACAGAAATACTTTTCAACTTTATTTCTACTAACCTACTGGTAACTATGTCTGCTCTCATAACAGCCTAAGAGTATCCCTACCCTATAGGCCCGGTCTATTATCCTCCCTGAAGGTTAGAGTTTTAGGTTTTCATACTGTAGCATCACACACCCCCACATCCTTTGTGTCCCACTACACAGAAAAGAAACCTTTAATAAGCCGAGCTGCTGCACATTAATCACTAGCAAGAGGGCTTAAGCTGCTGGATCCTATATCTTTTTGAATAGCAGGTATGGGAGGACAGCACAGATCTCAGATTGATTTTCACAAAGAGCAGCCAGAGATTCAGAGAAACTGGAAGCCAAGGTAATATTGGATCAAAGCTGCACTGATCGAGCACATAAGGTGAATCAAATTGATGCAGCTCAGCTCTGCTGTGACAGTTTTTCAAACAGAGGCATTAGCAGCTAATAGGTACGCTGGGACATGTCGCATCCCCGTGACACACTTTACACATGGCCGCAGAAGGGAGCAAAACGTTATCGGTCTGGATTCATCACATTTTTCTTAACTCTGTTCGGATCAGCACAGACACCCGAGCCCATTACAAAACGCGGCTGAAAAACCTTGAGCTGCGTGGCGCTTCAGGCAACGCAGCTCCCCAGTGACCAGCTGCACTGTCCTTGTCAGCTTCTTAAACAACAAAATAACCTCCAGAATAATTCAATTGTTACGCTTGCAGCCGGAAAATCCTCAAACAGCTGTTACAATAAAAATGCCATTTCCCTCTAGCGAAAAGCATTTCACAAACAACAGACAAATATTTGTCCATAGTGTCAGGGGAGAGTTTACCTCATTCTACTCTTCTATTGAGTCTCTATCCACCACTATGAGTAACAGTTTGTTATAATGCAGAAGTAAAACAAAGGGAATATGTAACATCCTAAATACTGACTCAATTCGGAAAATCAAATCCTAGCTTCCGTCAGTCTTTTGTCAAAGTGAACACCCTAAATATTCTGAACAAGCCACTCCCTTTCTCAGTCTGTGCAATTACCAAGTATTTCCTTCTAGCCAATTCCTTATGATTTGCTTTTTTCTAACACTTGAAACAGAAAGAGTATTAAAAAAGATAACCTGAATGCAAACAAATAAAACAGCTTAAAAATATTGTTGCATCAAATAATGGGAAAAACACTCTCTGCAATAACAAAAAGCCAGGCTGCACTATCTTAGGCCGTGTCAAAGGTGACAAAAGACATTTTAAATTATATCATAAACTTTTTGAAGTGTCTATCCTGTTAAAAATCAAACTGTATGTGTTTAAATAAAAAGAAATATAATATGAAAAAAATTGTCCTTCACAGACAACTGGGCCAAAATTCTTTAGAGCAATAGTGTGGAAATCTTTTTAAAAATATTTGCCAAAGTTTTATTTTAAAATTGCTTTTTAAATCACTAATGAAAACGAGAGACACTACTTAATTAGAGTTTCACTCAGATATTCTGACACCTATCCAGGAGTCTTTGTCAATCTGTTGACTTTTTTCAACAGTTTTACTGAATCTTACTTTTAGTTATTCTTGAATAAAAATATAAGGAAGTAGTGTTACTCCAGAGTAAAATTTCTTTTCACTCCACCAATTATGACTAACTTTACTCAATAAAGAACCTATTTTAAAATAACCTAAGAAACGCACCCTAATTTTCTTTAAAGTGAAACATCCTTAGACTATACTTATACTATAAGTTTTTTTTTTTTTTTTTTATTCTTTAAAACACCAGAATTAAAATATCTTTAATACTATATATATTTTTTATGTATCAAATTGAATGTTATCATTAGTTAGTAGTTGAGTAACCTTTTTATGCTTTGTACTCTTGCTTGCGTATTTAAGTGGATGAATTTATTTTTTTACAGTTACTGAGGTAAAAATATGTTAGATAGTACTCTTTACTTAGCTTTGTTAGTACAGAAAGGTGTAATAATAAAAACGGTTTAAAATGATTAAAATACTTTATACTTTATAAAATACCTTGTTTATACTTTGTAGCTGAATTTACAGCAAAAAGTTTAATACCCACCAAAAACCCCAACTTTTGAAAAACTTTTTATGCCTTTTTCTTTTCTGCATTGTTATTATATAAAGTGAGAAAAACAATTTTGACAGAGTCATAAATCTTACTTCACTAAGAGACTGCTTTTCTAGCAAACATATGCTGCCACATCAAGAGAAATATATAAGTAACTTCAGTGTTCATACTAGAGCGATACATCAGCCGGTTTAATTTTCTTTGGCCAATACTTGATTTTTCTTCTTGTATCATTATCAGCCGATTTGTGCATGCTTGGACTTTTCATAGCGGTTTCAGCAACCATGCCTTAACATCATTGAAACTTTCCTCCATTTTGCTATCTATTGTTCGACGGTTAATATTTTATTTCTTTACTTTTTTATTTATTTGCAAATAGATGTTTCTTTTTTGTTTAACTTTAGATTTATATAAAATATGTTTTCATTTTGCTCTTATCACGTCAATGGAGGAAGAGAAAGCAATATTGATTACAGGAAGCAGCCAACAAATATCGGTAGGACATATTGGGGATCGGTTAGACTGATTTCAAAATAATTGGTTTCATTAGTCGTTCTGTAGTTGATATAAACCAGGGTATTCTCAGCACAAACTGAGCATAATAAACACATTGCAGGAGGCAACACTGGAGCAAATAGGTGCCACGGGATAGGCAACTTATACTGGTCTCTGTCTGGCTATGAAACTTTTATGGCTACGCCACTGGAGGGGAATAAATACTTTACATATAAGCAGGTTGGTTGGGATAGCTTTTTCCTTTTTATAAACATAATTATCAGGTGCAGCGGTGGTGTGGTGCTAAAGAGCGCAACCAATGAAGGGAGGCCTAGTCCTAAATGCAGCTGCCACAAGTTAAATTCCCATCCCGTTAACCTTGACCACATTTCTTCCCACTCTATTTTAACCTAGCTTCATGTGAGCTAACTTTTAAATAAAGTAGTGCCAAACAAATTTAAAACTGATAATCTAAATCTTGTGAGACAAAAGCTAATATGATATATATATATATATATATATATATATATATATATATAATTTCTCATAGTTTTTAGAACTTTGAAGATGGAAAATATAATCTGCTCTGTTATACAAGCACAATCAGAGAGTGTTCAAGGTGTTCTTTGTCAGTCAATTATGCAAATGTGGGACACTGGAATGTGGCTGGAGGGGGGGTTGGGGATTCATTTCCATTATGGCTATGATTCACCAGAAAACAAATGAGACATGCTGAAAAAGCTGCAGCATAATTTTCACATGGCTGCAGATTAACCTCGCAGTAGGTGCAGCACACTGCCTAAGCTGGGGAGAAATAGAGCGGATGAAAAAAGGAATTGGATTCTCTTAAAGAGAATATAATGAAACGATTAAAGGAGCTGTAACAAACAGGGAAAATAAAATAAAAGTTGGGGAAAAGGAAGAAGAGAGAAGATGGGTTGTTTACATTTGTTTGCTCCAAGAGCTCACTGCTAAGTCAATCAAAAAAAAAAGTAATTTCTCATCTGTTATTACAGGGGGAGTCATTTCATTGTTCATTCATCAGTAAGACCTGGAACGTAATTTGAACAGAATGCATCAAGCTACCTGCTGTGACTTCACCCCCCCAGATTTTTCCAGGAAAAAGAAAAAGTCACATCCAAATTCTTCTGCGTCCATGTTGCACTGCAACAACTAAATTACATTCTGACCTTTTAGAAGTGATGAAGACTCCAACACCATATAATATGCCCCTCCCACCCCCGTTACACACACACACACACATTCTCGTCATGCTATATAAAATGAGTACTTTATGTTGAGTCCTATTGACTTCCATTCATTTCTATGCCCTAACTCTAAGCAATACCCCTAAACCTAACCATCAGCAAAAACTCAATTCAAACCAATCCTAAACCTAAACCTTAGCAAAAACTAAAAGAAGAGAGAACCAGCAACATGTCCTGACATTGGTACAAACGGTCCTCAGTTTGATGGTGAAATAGGAAAATTGGCTCTTACTCTGATCTCAAAGGAGGAGTACACACACACCCACACAAAGTAGGCAAACATAGACACACAGGATGTGACACATAAGCACAGAGATGAGAAGAAAGAAAATCATCAGTCAATAAATGATAGCCTGCAGCAGCAGACTTACCTTTGAGGATGCTCTGTCCGTGCAGTACATCTCTGGGGACAATCACCGTGTAGAAGTTCTGAGAGAAGCCGGGTCTACAGGAAGGTTTCAAGGGCTGGCCCGCCCTACTCCCCTGGGGTAAAGGAAAAAAAGGTGGACTAATTTAGGCTTATAAGCTGATCTCACAGCTCTTTCAGACTATCACTGAATCTTAGTTCCTTTTTAACTTATTTTATGGTCCGCTTTAGACTCCAGCACTGTCAGGAGAGGTTATGGTCAAACAATGGCCAACTCTATATATTTGCTGGCCCATACAACAAAGGGAGTCTTAGATGCCTGATATATCTTCTTTAGAATCAGGAATTTGAGAGAAGAGCTGACAAGCATTAAAAAACCCAACTATGGAAATATATGACCATGTTTTTAAATGTTTTACATTTCATTATTCCTAAAAATATATAATTTGATGACATACTAGAGTACCTTTATGCAGCATGAAGCTGTCCAGTGTTATGCATTGTCACCCAGCTGGTGGAAAGACAGTTAGTACACACCATTTATGATGTGCAAACTAAAAAAGAACCACTCATTACTGCTAGAATAACACCCTTGAGCTGCTTGTCTGAAAGATACCAGTAGAAAACCTAACTAATTTATCATCAGCTGTGACTGTGTTAAAGTATATGGAGCAGAACAGCAAAGATACAAATTTACAATTACAACTTTAGCAGAAAAAACCATAGATAATAATATTCTACAAATTTATTCTGCAAACTTTTTCAGATTTAAGATCACAGAAACTTAACATTCCCATAATTAATATTTTAGAGGCAGAGGAAACAATTGCTTATTCTGTTTCAATGAAAACAATTTCAACATGTTTAATTCTTTGCAAAAATATGCATATAGTTACTCTGGAAACAATGAAATCTTTATTCAAATTGAGTGTGTTGCTTTTGAATCAACCAATTCCCTGTTTTTTTTATTGACAATTTATTGTTTTGTCTTTTTATGACACTCTCCCTTTGCACTACTGGCCGCACCCACTCATATCCATGTATGACATGAATCTTATAGCTTTTATTTTGGCGACTGCCTGATCGCAACTTAAAGAGGACATTCAAATAAAAAATAAAAATGTTTGTTTGAGCAACAACTAATAAATACATTTAAACCAAAACAGAACCCATTGTTGGAAATTTAGATTTCTCTATATTCATATATTAATTTATCCTATTTAGTCACTATAAAAGTTAGTTCTAATTTTTTTTATTTCTAGTCATTTCTCTGCAGGATGATATTTGTAGACCAGACATAGCTTCTTCCCATAACAAGCCAGATTTATTCATAACATGTTACTGTTAACCAAAGTGTCTGTAATTTGTAAGTAATGGGGAACGAACGCTGCTCAGGCAGAACAGGGCTGAATACTGGGCCATAATGGCTGTATGATAAACTGTTCTCTCTTTTCAAAAATATTATAAAATAAAATGCCGACTGAGTGAAATCCATCGATCTCCTTTTATTTAACTAGGGTGAATAGTTGAATACTTTTTTTCCCACTACACCATAGCCACCCCAAAGGCTATGCTACCCTGTGAGGTGAGCCACATTAAAACTGTTACAGCTCAATGTAATGATCTTAGGCTAAAACAAAATATCAATATTAGGTATGTAGACTATATAAGTGGGAAACCTGACTAGGTGCACTCAAACTGTGAAGAAAAATGAACAGGTGGTGAGCTGCTATAGGCTTAGACTTTTGGAGGACATAGGGACCCCCATTTCATCATTCTGCTTCATTCTCTCTCTGTTCTCCTATTCTGCAGAATCTGTTAGTTCAATCTCTAACCTTCTGCTCTCTCTGCTTTTCCTCAGAGTAGCTTTGCCTCGTCTGTTCCTGTTTGGCTGTGACGTCATCCTGGAAAAAAACATCAGCTGTGCTGCTTCTATCAACACCCTTGTTAATAGATGTTGGAGATCGGCCTGTTTTCCAGTGTGGTCCTGTTTCTCTGACCGTGACTGAGTGGATGTGCTCTCTTCGTCCTCTGGCATGGGAGCTGCCTTGGAGCTCGTCTGCCTGGCTGTGTGTTTCCTGGACGGGGTCGCCTTTTACAGCTGCTTTTTGTATCTCTGCTTCTGTCTCCTTGAACCCCAGTCGGCCTCGGCAGATGGCCGCTCACACTGAGCCTGGTTCTGCTGGAGGTTTCTTCCTGTTAAAAGGGAGTTTTTCCTCTCCACTGTCGCTACAAGCATGCTTAGTGTGGGGGATTGTATTTGAGTCAATGAGTCAATGCAATCAACTGGTTTTCCTTAGATAGAAAACTTTGTATCAATTTGACTGTATGATCTGGTTGAACTGTAAAGTGCCTTGAGATGACATGTGTTGTGAATTTGGCGCTATATAAATAAACTGAATTGAATTGAATTGATCCTGAGTAATAATCATTATCCTAGGACCAAGCTGCTATCTTTGAAAAGACTGGGGGCATAAGTTACATGAACTGCTTCATAAAGTGCGCATCAACAAGAGAAAAGGCTAAATGTGCATTACAGCTGAAGGATCGCAGGATGCAAGCAAGACAGAGCATCTGTAACCGCAGCATGCACCTGATTCCTTGATTTGTATAGGATCTATACTATTACATTCCCACTGACTGCACATGAGCATCACTAAGCCCTGGGAGTGCTTTCTATACAAGAACCTCCTCCGTTTGAAATAAAATAATATATATCCCCATCACACTCCTTGGATTATTCTTCCTCATTAGAGACTGGCCGCTAACTGAGATGCACTCCAAATTATGGCAGCGTGTGAACCAAGTTCATTTCAAGCAGCAGATGGATCAGCCTCTCCAGAATGCGCTGCCCACCGCAATAATGCTGCAGTTTATCCAGGGTGGCTAACGCTGACACTACTTACTGACTTTTTAGAAACCTATCTACTCTATCCAAAGGGATAAATCGGAAAAACATAAACAAAAGCTAAGAAGAATAAATTTTCAACCATATTAATGCATGGTTCCACTACAGCCATCATGTGCAGGCGCAGCACTATACGGGACAAAGTGAGCCGTTCGTGGCCACTTCCGAGCGCTCCTGCAGCGCGCTGCAAAGCTCCAGTAGGCTTTACAGCAGTGCAGCACTTCCTTCTCACTGTCAGCGGAGCAGACAAAAAGAGATCAACTCATCTTACCGAGGATGCGCCAACAAGTAAGGTGCACGCCAACAGGACGCAGCCAGCGATCATCTTTGCAAACAAAAACCCAAGATCTTAGAGAGGAAAAAAATTATCACTGGGAAAAGGGAGTGATCTCTTCCCGTCAATAAACGCCTCAGTAATTCCTGGATTCCCGTGTTTTGTTTTGTTTTTTTTTTCCCTTTTCCGCTGCTGAGCAGGAGAACGTCCCTACTTGTCTGGCGCAAAAGTGCCGCTGAGACAGAGATGCTGCGCTCGGTCCAGAGGAAGCCGGTGCCCATTGGATGACAGCGTCACTACAACCCCTCCTACCCTCGGCGGCGCAGGCAGGCTGCGCCTCCAATAACTCCCTGTGATGATGATGATGCCACTTCAGGGATCTATTGGTTGAGAAATGCCTTTTTCCAGGCTATTTAGATTCATATTTTGACTTCAGATGGAGCAGAGGCGGTTCTGGCTGTGTGAGTGACAAGCAGCCATCCGAGTCCTTTCATGAGTCCATCAGCTAAATGCAGTCTATTTCACACCCCAGTTACCCTCTCTGCCCCTGATCCAGGGTATATAGGTATAGCAAGTGAGAGTTAATAACTTTTTATTAAAGCTGCCACGATAGAAAATCTGCAGATATGACTTTGATTGTGACTGAAAGCTTTAGATGAAATAAAGTACAATGTAACAAAATCCTTTGAAATCACAGCACTATATTTCCATTTGGCTCCCACTTGATTTGCTCCATGCTTCTAAATTGATTACAAATTAAATAATTATGATAATTAATTCCATTTTGTGGAATAATATTAAAGGGTTCATAGAATGCAAAATCGAGTTTACATTGTCATAGATGAATAACGATAGTTCAGTGGGTGAAATGGACGTACAGAGAAGTTCAAACCCCATCGTCACCTCCTTTCTCTGCAAATCTCACAATTCTAAACTTCCAGCATAAAACAGGTGAATCCAAACGAAGCACCGAATTGACGTCAATTAGGGGATGTTGCCTTATTTGGTTCCGGCCTATACTTTTGTCACGCCCCAAAATTGACATACAGACCAGCCCACTGATTCACTGGCCCAACAATATAAATAGAGGTAGATGTAAGAAACCAGTTTAGCTGTTTAGCTTACAGTTGGGTTACTTCTACAAGAATTACAAAGCAGGCAGTTTCTTTATTGAAAATTAGCCAGAACCCAGGCGTAAATGCAGTGTTCCAGGCTGCACGAAGGCTGCACTGATCCCAACCCGGTGACGGTATGCTTTCCGCCACCTGCCTTACTGTACTTCCCTCCGCCTGCCTTACCCGCAGGCCGCCGGCATCCAGAAAACCATCACTGGATCAGGTTCAGTGGCTCCGTCCCCAGCTGGCTCCCTGCCCCCAACAGCTCGGTTTGAAAGCCTGGTGTGTTTTGACTACTAGCTGCACTGTAGTTGACCAAAATCTCGGATGATTTTGAAATTCCCCCCGAACATTTTTTTAGGTTTGAAAAGTTGGACATGTCTGGAAAAAAGAGAACATCTGGTCACCCTACTCAACAATTTTGATGTTTCAGTGAGTGAGAGCTTGTTGCTATGATGCGTCTTTGCTCAGCAGCTTCGCTTATTGTAAACCAATCAATCAGCGTGCAACTCGTCTAAATATTAATGAGCATACCATAAAGGAAGAAAACCTGTGTTCTGGGGCTTTTGACCAGGCTTGCATTAGGGCTCATAGAACAGCAAATATGCCATTTTCAGCCCAACCAAAGTTACACACCCTATTCAGAGACCTTAAGGACCAGCACCAAATACCCTATATAATCATTATATGACCCCTTTAATGAACTTAAGATTTCCTGTTAATCTTTTTGCAAAATCGTGTTACTGTGAAAGGCCTTTCCTAAACAGTCTTTCCCTAAAAAAAGTTATCAGACTAAGTCTGATTATAATCGTATCAGTTGGGTTAATATTCTTGCCATACTCTTCAGCAATAACCTCCCTTTAAACCTTGTTGTGTTTTTTTCCACTTTGTGCTGTGGAAGAAAACTAGCCTAATATCTAATGTTTGTTTACCTACCATTTGTCAGGGTTTGGTTGTGGTTTTTGAGGATCCAAATGCAGAGGCAGGGAGGCAGAGGTGAGTTCCTTGAAGATTTAATTAATGAGCACAAACAATTCAGGCAAGAATCCAAAAATCCAACATTAAAAATGCAAAACAAACCAGAACCATGGAGACATCAGGGGAAAAGAACACGTAGAGTCAGGGAAAGGCGAGGAGAGATGAGGAAACGAGGAGCCAGCACTGAGGAACTGCACAAGGAGAGTATTTATGGGAGACTGAACAAAGAGATGACTGACGAGCAGATTGGGAGCAGGTGTGAAGAGAGGAGTCTAGAAAGGAGCTAAGGAAAAGGAGACCAACACAAGAAGGCAACAAATAAAAACCTAAGAACTCAAATATAACCAGAAAATACAACAAAATAGGAATTAAACCAATAAAACTATAAAACATGGAGCAAAGTAAAACTGAATACTCAAAAGAAAACATAACAGAACCAAGACTGTGGCACCATTACTGTATATCTAAAGATTTGTTTCCTTCTTATTTCCAAAATAGCTTAAGCTTAGCCTTGTTTTAAGCTTCTTTTGTCTTCTAAGTCACTGTCCACTTTAACTTTTTACTTAAGTAAAACGAGCCACCCCCTTCCCAACAGCATCAATATCCTGCCAGGATATTGCCATTGAAAACATTCCTGTTGAAGTCACTTATTTCGGCATTACTGTACATGCTGATGGAACCAACTCCAACCAATCTAACATGGAGGTTCAAATTAATCACTCAACCACTGGTTAACCAGAGAAACTTCTATATTTGGCCAAATTCTGTTGGTTAAAAATGAAGGTCTTTCAAAATTAATTTACCCATGTCAATCACTACATGTTAACTAGACTTGCATAAAAAAAGGTCCATTATTTTATTTATAATTTTATTAGGAAAAACAGAACACACTATATTAGTAAAGCAAAGATAATTCAGGCTTAACAGCTTGGAGGTTTAAAAGCACTCCATTTGAATCCACAATCTGCATGTTAACAATAAAAGCATTTTTTCTCTCATCCCAATTAAATGTGGTTCCTCATACCGAAGTGTCTGATTGAGACTGTTGGTGATCTTAATTTTTTTGCTAAAATGTAAATTTAAAATATTCAACCCAGCTGTTAAAACCTTAAGCAATTTAAGTTTGAAGTGGAGTTGTGTGTCTTTTGTGGAGAGGAAAGCGAAACAAGTCATCAAATGTTTATTTTTCTGCCTCTTTACTCTAAAGTTCTGGGAGGAAGTTATCACCTGGTTTAACATAGTTCCTGTTCTTGTTTTAGACCTCCAACAAACTTTGCTATATTTTGAAGCTAGTAAATATTATCTTCATTTTAGGTCAATACCAAAAAAAGAAATGGAAAAGCTGTAACTGAATTAAAATAAATAATCTAAGGAATTATTTTCATTGTCTGGAACTTTTGTCTGAAAGAAACCCTTCAATATCAATGTCTTACTCTAGAATGTCACTAGCAAAAAAAAAAAGCTTTACGGTGTAATGCCAATGTTATCCCACTTTGTTTGTTATTGTTGTCTCTACTGTTTTATTATTTTGCTATGTAGCTACTGCTGTGGTTCTAAATTTGATATTGTATGTAATTGAATTCACTACCAGATAGATGAAAAAGTGAAGCAGGAAAAAAAAAACAAAAAAAAAAACTGGCTTTTGCCAGGTTAACCATCAATCCAAAAGAGGAAGAATAAAAATTGTGCTTTCAATAAAAAAAAAAAAAAAGAAAGAAAAGAAAAATAATAAGTAACGGTAACACTAATGCAAGGAACAGTGGGTGGGGGTGTTGAACATATTGGTAAAACTGTACAAAATGATTAAAAAAAACTGTTCACACTATTCCCTTAACTATGTTGACCTGTCTAACAGTTTAATAGTGTTGACATTTTCAGACCCTGAAATCTGTGCCTTAATTTACATATCTGAGAGTTCATCACAATTTAATCCCATCAAAAGGAATATGACAGTATTACAGTGTCAATCAGCACAACCCAGAATCCGCCTTGTCACTGCCATTCACTTTACTTTGCCTCATGTTTGGCACCAGCAGCTGCAGTGTTGGAAAAAATAAATCTTTGAACACATTATTTTCCTTCAGTCTCGTCCCTTCCAACAGTATCTTCAAAACAAACCGCTCAAGGGTGATAATTAAGAAGTACTTCTAGGCTAGCTGACACTGCTCAGTGGGTGTTTCTGTCCACAGGGTGGGATTTCTTTAAGGTCAGAGATATGAAAAGAAGAAAAAATACACTCCACTCATCCGTCTTCCGGGCATTGTGTTTTTGCTTTTATTATACCCTAAAAAACTTGGCAGAGCCAGACTGTGACAAGTGTTTGAAGTGAAGGCCTGCACGATAAACAATGACTCTCAATAAATAATGTCACATTTCCTCACATGAGACCAACTGTTCACAGGAAAAAGGGTTGCAAAAACAGAAAAACTCCAGCAGAGAAAATGACAGAGTGTGATGAGTGGTATGTCCTGAAGAGTTTGTAATTCTCACAGTCAGTTGGTTTCCCTTAAAACCTGATAAAGAGACATTTATAATTAGTGTTCCAGAAAAGTGTTCTTATTCATTATAATGGTAAACATTTCTGTTATTTTACCACCCCAAACTGTAATATATTCAGATTTTATGTGATTGATGGAATTAATGAGTGCTTAATTTTGAAGTGACCTTAAAACAGGAATTTATATAATCAATATAAGTGTTGGATGCATTTGTATGCGGAGTCCTTTACTCTGATAACCCTAAATAAAATGCAACCATCTGCCTTAAGAATGCACCAAATTAGTAGATGTAGTCAACATGTATGCATTTTTTCCAAAGGATAAATACAACTGTGGCTTTGGAAAGAGAAACATAATCGTAGATGGCCCCCAAAAGCCATGGTTACCCTTAAAACATGATAAATATTTTTTCTGTAAATCAGATATGTAAGAATGGCAATTGCCACTCCTGAAAGAAAAAATATCTTCTTTGCATTTGTTGCAAGCCATGTTGAGGACACAGCAAAGATCTCAATATTTTGGTTGACATTGTTGTGCTTTAAGAGGTTATAAATAAAACTGGATTCAGTGCAAAAGACTAGACAAACACCCTCCCCACAGTGATGCATGGTGGTGTCCGCATCATGTACCTTCGTACCTTCAATTTAACAGAGAAAAT